ACGGCAGGACGGTGACAGACCCACAGCAGCCTCTCTGGTGCTTGCAGACTAGCAGGCTGTCTCAGGAGCTTGAGCATGCTCCTGGCATGGCATTTCACCTGTCGGCGCTTTGGTAGGGTAAGGGAAGCTGCAGCCCGAATGCTTGCATTATGACTGAGGCTGGAAATGAACTGGAGCTGCTGCCGTTTGCTAACAGAAATTGAAATGTTGTCTTTATGTTCCAAAAAGCATTAAAAACTGATCCTAAAAAGTATCACAAGCCTTTCTGTGCCAAAAAGCCCACAAAGCTGGCATTATCCAGCTTCCACCGTGCTATTCCAATGTGTACTGTGTACCAAACACCAAGCACAGATCTGCAGACGATCCTCGCAGCAGGTGCTAGATCTAACAAATTGTCATTGGATGTAGCTATGAAAGGGTGCATGGACATCACTGGTGACTGGAGTGAAAGCTGTTACAGAAGTCATGGAAGGGACCCGCAGCCGGTCCCAGCAACAGAAGGAGCGTGTTTGTGTTAGTAATGGCCCTGTATGGCTGCTTCATCTGCAAACCTTTACCGAGCAGAAGATAGCTGGATAAAAAGAAGAGAGTATTTGATTTTTTCAGGGATGATCTGAAGGAGAAAAATTAGGATATTTTAAAAAAATTAAGCTGCCCCTGGAATGTCTAGCATACTTTTAACTAATGAAAGACACTCAGCTGCTTACAGTAACTAAAACAAATACATAGAAACAAATAGGCAGAAACAAATAGGTAGAGTTTTCATTCCTTATTAATAACAAGATTTTGCTTTTGACCAATAACAACATAAAGCTTAAGGGTTACTACACACAAATGGATTCATCATAAGATCGGGAGTTATCACAGAGAGTGTAATTATGATTATTAAATCCACTGCATGGAGCAAAGGGTGTAACAGACGAACAAGACCAACACAGGATCTCAAAAGCATTATTGAAGTTTGTCCCCAACACCGCGTCAAGAGCTGAAGTTTCTGGCCCTGACTGGGTGATTCTTGCCATTTTTTTAATAACAGCACCCTATGCACAGTTCCCCTTAACACTTGTAGACTGTTACAGCTCTTGGATGAAATTTTCACATATATAAAAGAGATCCATTTCTTTCTTGCATAAATGTTAAATTTGCATTCATGTGTTTGCCATTAAAGATTTTTTTAGATACTGGTCTATTTATAAGGTAAATTGAAGATTTTCTAGCAAGTTGCAGGAACACTATCTTATGCAAGATAACATGCTAGTAAGATCTGTATTTCTGTAAAGGTTTGTCAGAAAGAAGCTAATACTGCTTTATTCTCACCGTAACCATGACCCAAACCATTTCATTTTAGCTTTACAAGCTTCCAACTAAAAGTCTTCTTACTGGATCACATTTCTAAATGTTGTCCTTCATGCCTTTACCTGGCTCATATGTGGGAAGAACATGGCTGTCTGTTTTCTTTTGAGACCTATTATTTCCATAATTCACACCAGAATACCATTCTTTGTTGAGAACAAACAGCCTGTTTTGTACTTGAGATGGATGTTGTATTTTAGAAATAGAGTATTATTGTTTAGAAAGTTTTCTGCAGATCAGACGAGCTTATTGAAAAGTATAAGCAAAATATTGATGCTTCTGTATATGTTGCAGTCAGTCATTCTGGTACAGAAACAAAGAATGGATGCTGCTATGGACAAATTACTGCAACTGAGAATCATTAAAAAAAAAAGGAAATACTCCGATCCCAAGGAAGTCACTTGCAGAGAAGTTTATCAAGGGATTTCCTAGGTCAACGCACCAACTTTCAGACTCCTGACTAGGCAAGAGTTAAGATAGTAGGACTAAATACTGTAGGAAGAAGAGTCTGTGTATGGTTTTTCTTTGGATCATGAAAATTTTCACAAACCTTACTTTGTTACATACATCACCTTTATGTATTTACAGATAGGACACCAAGAAGGTGATGAATTTGAAGCCTGATTTTTGATGTTAGACCTTGTTTACTTAATACCGTGTTAATTTTATTCAAGCTAAAGCATGTTTATTGCTATTTAATACCAATTATTTAATAATGAGACAGCATAGTTGTAGCTTTTGTGACTGTAGCGAAGAGGTGCGCTACTCTTCACATTAAAATTTCCGGCATTTTCATGTTTTTGTTTTGTTTTTAACTGGAGCGTATACAGTGTTTCCTCAGACGATGTGCATAGTTACCTTGTTTTAGGGGGATCTGATACACAGCATACCTTGGGAATCTTTTAATGCTAGCAGGCTCAGCAAGGAGCCCATGCAGCTTTTCTCTGTGATAAGAATAGCTGTGGGAAGGTTGAAGAGTATAAAGAGGAAAAAGAAAAAACTGTCTGCACTTCAGAGATTCCCTTCAGATGAAGGAGACAGAAAATCCACATAGATTATTGCAGAAGCTGTAGGCGAAATTAAAAGTTGTCATCTCCAACATATGCATTTGCCTGAAGTATTCTCTACGTTTACATATTCTAGGGCAGACACAGCTGTAAAGAGCTGTAAAGCTTTTTTCTTTAGTCTGAAAGTGTTGGGACTTTAATCTTGGGGTCTGTTAATACTGAGATCACATTTACAGTCCAAAGAATTATGTGTCCAGCATGCAGCAATCTTGATTATATTCCGGTCAGGATGTGGGAAAGATGCTATTAGAAACAAAACAATCAATTCACTTAGACTGTCCCACAAACATGCTTTATGGCATCTGCCTCCTACTCATTTTAAGTGAGGTTTTATGGCGACACATTGGTGAAGATTAGTACACAACTGCAGGCAGATGCCCATGACTGATTCAATTGTTTGCACTGACACTCACAATTGCTGTAACTGCAACTGAAGTGATAAAAGCCATTGCAAAAAACAGACAAAGTGAAACCAACATTGTTCCTCAGAGATTTTATTAGTTGAAACGCAGAAATGCACAATCCACTGTTTTTTTCTCGGTATGAATTTACCAGAGCATTTCTGTTTGCTACGCCTGCAATGCTGTCCTCATTGATTTAACGTAAGATCCAAAAGGTCTCTTTAAAAACAGAACTTGTGCAGTAAAGGCAATACATTCCAGCCTCACTTGTTTATAAAAAATTCTTTTCAAAAAAGGCCATTAAAAGATAAAGCAGCAAATCATTTGTAGAAAATCAGTAAGAACTTAATGTGATCCTAGGTTAAGAGCATTCCTCTACCTTTGCTGTATGCTCCAAGCACAGCTACCATTGTTCCTTTCCTCTGTTCCTCCCATAACTGTTTAACACCATTAATGTTCAAAGCTGGTGTTTCTGAAGAGGAGTGACCACCTTCTACAGCCTCTGGAGAAAGAGAAAATGGGTGTTTAGAACTAGGCAGTATCCAAAACCTTCCTGAGAAGAGATGACCTTGTAGCCTGCCAAGCAGGTTCTTATGCGGTCCTGCAGACTTCCTTCAGAGTGCCTTCAGACTGCCTACACACTGGTGGCTCAGTCCAAAGGAATGAGGAGATGATCCATGTACGAGTTGAGGATTTAACACATTCACTCCCCACTTACAAAACAAGTGTGACTTTTGTAGATGTATGTCACTGAAAATGGAAATCCCCTTGCAACATAACCCATATTCGGAAGGTATTTTTAGCATCCTCATCCTGGACACTGGAAAACTTCCATTTAAATGCTCGAGACTGTGATTATATCTAATCCTTCTATCAGGTAAAAACAAAGAAAACCCCAAAACATTACAGGAAAGCAGAAAATGCCTGATTCTGTGCCATGTTCATTGAGACCAGTACACAGTGATGAAAAAACGCTGTTGGCTCCAGCTGCAGTTCCCTGCTTATATACACATGAATTTACTCACATTGATCAACTGGGACACACAAGTGGCAAGGTAGCCATGGATGCAGCAAAGCCTTTAACTAAATATTGTGTTAATTTTATTTAATTAAGGGGATTATCTCCTCCCAATATTTAAATCAGTATTAGACTTGCCAATATACTGGAGAAGAGATATCTAAGTCAACAACATATTGCATCAGGAGGGAGTTCCGACAAACGGGAGGCAAGTGCTTTAAATGCCTCCAGTTACAGCACAGCACTGGAGAAGGTCAAACGCCCAGACAAGTTTCCTACAGAGAGACTTGTCAGATCTGACGCTTTGAACACGAAGCTCACGCCCGCCTCACACGCAGGCAGTGGGGGAAACACAGCTCGGATGCCAGCAGCGCGAAGGAGATTCATGCTGGGAGTCCCTGCCAGAGACAGCCAGGCAGCAACATCTAAGGCCTGAGCAAGAGGGAGGCCATGGCACTGCCCCGGCCCGCGCCCACAGCAGGAGCAAACCCCTCGCAGAGCGCTCTGCCCAAAGGGAGCCTGCTGCAGTCTGCGTGCGTAGGGCAGCTAACGCCTGTCCGTTAACAGTCTGCCCCATGTCTCTCATGGTGGTTGACCAGAAGATGGGCTGGTGAGAGGCGCTCCGTTAACAGCCAGAGGGAGAGCACGTGTGGAAATGCCGTGGGGACACAGCAGCACCTCCCAAGCCACGGCTGTGATGGCCTCGCAGCTCTGCTGGAGAAGGGTCTGCCCCTGCAAGGTGGGCACAGCACCCTGCAAGCCAGGCCTGGCAACGTGCCCCACGCCAGGCATTCCCTCTCTAACGCAGGCAACTCCGAGAAGCAAGTTACCGCAACAGGCCAATGGAACAAGACATTGCCGCCCTCAGTGGTTTTATTTTGGTACTGTTTAGACTCCCAAACAAGTTCAGAACCACACTGTGGAACACACCATAAAAAAGCACTTCCAGGCTCAGGCAGAAAGAGGAATAAACATTAGCCTCACTCTGCAAGGCAGGATTAAAGTATTCAGAGTCGTATCAGAAACTAAGGCAGGCACATCAGCTGAACCCAGATGCCCCGGGGTGAACCAGGGCTTACACACAAAATCCCCCTTCGTACAGGGATATGCTGATCTGGACATTTCAGAAATGTAGCACTTGAAAACGAGATCTTACCTTCTTTACTGCTTTTGTCTAAAGAAGTCAAGAACCTCATTATGCCCTGTAGCCTCTGCCTGGAAGTAGAAACATGAGTAAATCCTGCCATCCTGTACACCAGGACATGCAAATGCTTACTTGTGGGAAGTAAGAATATGTCACCACAAAATAATTACAATTCAATTTAAATTTTAATTCCTCTGATATAGATGAGAAAATTCTAACTCCAACAATTTATTACTTCACAACAGCACCACACTTGAGTTTGTAACAAACTCTAATCTGGTTTATAGTCCCCAAAGCAGCACTTACTTTTCCCAAACTAATATTATCTGACAGCGTGCATTATTACTCACACAGCTAGCACGCCATACGGAGTACAGCCATGTGCACACTTACTACTTGGAGGGGATTCCTGCCATCATAACCGGTTTGCTCCAGGTCTGCACCAGCTAGGTACCAGGCATACAGCCCATCCACATCGCCTTTAGCTGTAAGGCTGGAAAAAGAATAATTAATATCGGTTCTAAATCTTTTGGTCCATTGCAGTGCGTTCTGGGGTTCCGGTCAATCAGCTCAGCAGGCGAACGCTGAACCAGGGCAGGCTCAACATGTCTGCCAGGGTAGAGAGGTAAGTAAAGGAACACTATTACAACAGCTTTGAATAGCTGAGCAAGCAACCCAGCTTGATGAGTCAGTTCCTTAAATTAATAGGGCTGCGCTATAAGTACTTACAATAGGCTAGTTTCACAGAGTGGGTGTGACTATGACCAAAGGGGAAAAAAAGTCAGGCAGTTTCATATTTCACAACACAATATTTATCTCACAAAATGAGTTGGGGGGCGGGCAGTGGTGAAGTCAAGATGCAGCTGAGTAAGTGGGAGCACAAGCACATGCGCGAGCCATCAGCATGCCTTATATCACATGCCCGAGAAACCCCCTTCACGTGTTTGCATAACTGTGCTTGCTATCAGAAGTTATGACAGCACATTTATGTGATATCATTTGGACAGCAACACAGCTACTTTTTTGACTTTTGTAGGGTAATTTGCAAGATTTCAATGGGCAGCAAGCAAGAAAAAAGAGCTTATTAAAGATCAACTCTATCTGCCATGTACAGCAAGCAATAGAAAGGATCAAAATTAATCATATACAAGTAAGTGAATTAAAAGTTTCCAGAGGAGTGTACACCAGATTGTTTCTTTGCCGATCCGCTGGTAGTCTCATCTATAATAATTAAGGTTCATTTTTTACTTTTTTGGGGGGGGTAAAAGAAGGGCTAATATCCTGTATGTATGCACAGGCATGACTGTCCGTGCCAGGCCTGTGGACAGGCTGAACTGACGGCAAGGCTGGGGGCACCACCTTTGGTGTTCTCAAGATACCAACACCTGTCAGGCTTCAGATCTGAGCTCGCCACGTGCTCCCAGATTGTTTCAGCAGAACCATGACAATAACCATCAAGTGAGGCTGAGTCTCGTTAACAGAGGGGGAACCCTCCCCAAACATATTAAGTTCAGAGTTTTCTGCCTTGAACAGTGCTCGCCGTGGGGGAACGGCATGCTGCTGGCAGCAGGGAGGGAGGACGGTGATGGGCTCCTGGGTACGCCAACCAAACCCAGCAGACCTGGTGGAGAGGGGAGAAGGCTGGAAGATGCAAGGGGCAGACAGCCAGCTAAGCTTATGGAAGAAACCCTGAAAGCAAAGCTGCAATGTTCACTTCTCTGCTAGGCTGAAATCACTTCTGCTGTTGATTAAATCTCCTTAAGTACCTGAAAAAATGCTTTCAGGGGAGTGGAAGCCTCTAATTGCAGCAGTCTGAGGAGAAAGTCAGAGGGAGGCTGTTGCCTGCAGCAGTCCCAGAGGTTGGGCAGGAAAAGGGAAAGCAAAGGGTCGCTGTCTATGTTCCTCCATGCACCCCTACCGACCCTGAGGCAGGGCAGAAGGCCTACAGCTGCGTCCTTCGCGGAATGGGGAAGTGGCAGTGGGGTGCCAGGAGGTTTAGCAGTGCTTCAGTCTGACATCATGAAGAAAAGGATCAATAAATCATTAATTAAAAGTGCCATCGCAAAAAAAGGCCCCTCAGAAGCAAAAAGGAAACAGATGAAGGCAAAGGAGCTCTAACAGGAAGCTCAGTGGGAAGTACTTAAGGAAACTGCAGGAAAAAGTAACTATTAGTAAAGAAAGTGCATAAGCATTAGTGAAGCAGAGAAGAAATTGCTTAGCAGCCACTTCTGGAACACAAGAATTATCTTTATTTACAAAGACAAGTCTCTTGCCTTTGACACTGGAAGGTCCCAGAATTAAGGAACAAAGACACAAACAAAAAGCCAACCTAGCAAGTGAGAGTTGCAAGCGCCTCCCACACTGGACAGGAAAGCAGTGTATCTGCCAGACAGAATCTCAGCGTTCAGCCACGTGCGAAGCAGAAACCACTTTGGGCAAAGACCAGCACATGTAGAAATATTACCAACCTATGCAGCCAGGGCAGTTCAGCTCGCATCACTGTAAGCAACAAACCAGGACTATTGCACTTACTTGAAAATTAACTGCCTAATAGCACCTGTTCAGAAAGAGCAACTTAACCCACACTGCCAGAGGTCAACACTGCAGAGCGGTCTCCCCCCATGACATCAGAGCAATCCAAATACACAGAAGTATCTTCAGATTTGCAGCAGCCATTTACTGATCAGGTAAGAAATCTATTCCATGGGTACTGTGACCCAGACAACAAAAATTGACTTAGCTCGCAAGAAAATTTAGATACCACCTTAAAGAGAAAATACCTACTAGTCATCAAATTGATTATAATCAAGACAACCACAGAATATTTTCTCCAATTCCCGATCTCCGTAGTCAAGCCAAACGCATCTGTATTTCCTTTACACGCTGTAAGTGTACGTCATATAGTCAAATATATACATAGGGCTTCTCAACATACACTACAGGGACCTTTGCTCTGTGTTTTTCTCAAAGATATTTATGCCAGCAATTCCAGCTACAAGGGCATCCTCTAAGCAGCAAGTCCATCATTTTTATATCATGAAATAAAATAAAAATAACTTCAATATACACTTACCAGGAAGTTTAAAACCTGCTTTGTTGACAAAGAACTACTAAACTCTGACTGATACCATTTACAGCAGATAATCCCAGGAATGCTGCCTGTCAATACTCTTGCATTTAGAAAAATGATTATGTACCCATTTCACAGTTTAAGCACGGCTAATGTAGCCACGAGTATGACAGAGCTAAGATAACAAGAACAGCGATCAGGCACTTATGCTCTCTGATTCTGTGCCTCCTGTCACACTAACATCATGCAAACTCGGTCACAGGAGCTGCTGTTTGAGGGGTGCTCTGTTACAGTCAGGGTACCAGGAGCGAAGCTGCTCAGGTCTCAGAGGGTTTAGAAGGACAAGGGCCAATGCAGTTCTAGATCTGGGAAGTAATGAGCACAGCAAAATGACACCATGGGCTTCCCTCCTGCCTCCACAGGTACCAGGATTTCATCTCCCTCTGGGACACAAAGCTCTGCTTTTCCAGCGATTCTCCTTTTTCAGCATCTGTATGAAGCAATCAGGAAAGACTTTCTTTTTTTAGGCACATCATCACCCTGACAGACTTTTTTTCCTTCTTTTTTTTTTAAAATGCAAATCCTCAAAAAGCAAGTTAAAAGTCAAGCACAAGGCATGGTTTTTGCTATCCTCAACACATTTGGGAGTGCTGCTCTTAGCTAGTATCTCCATGTCTCTCAGCTGAGGCAAACAGACTTCTTTGAAAGACAGCAGGCATTAAAAGCTTGGTCCTAATTCCTGCCAAGGCACATTTATCCTTCCTCCCCCAGCCTTACCCCCCAAGTTTATGTTAAATTGAAGAGGCATCTTATTCTGAAAGTTGCTGATTTTGAAAGGCTGCAGCCTTGTGTATTATATCATATCACTTTATGAAATCTAAGAATATGAAAGAGAAGGCTGGTTTGGCTTTATGCCCCTACTTAATGTTGTGAAGTATAGACTTGAACAGAGTATCTCAATTCTGTACAGGCTTCTTTGCTTTAAAAAACAAACACAAGGCAACTGTTTACCAACTCCAGAACTTGACAAGCCTTCAGAATAAGTCTAAGTGTCCCAATTTATCTAGACATGGTTTGGTTTTGCAGACAGATGACAATACTACTGCAATACGAGAAGAGACTCTGGCATTTTAAACAGATTACCAACATTGAGACCTCTTTCTCATTTCAAAACAAAGCCATGAACCAGGTACCAAACATCAACAAAGTGATTCTAAAACTCAGACTAACACTTCTTGCTTAAAAAAAGAAACCAGCAAGTGAAACCATGAAAGATTTAATAAGTAGATCATACTTGCTGCACCTATGTGCATTTCCATGTCCTACACAAGAGTTCCCACTGATCCTGTCCAGCTCTCGGTTCTGGCTGGTACTCCTTTCCCTCTCAAACATCACTAATGGCAAAGGAGCACGTGTATTTTTATTTTATCTTCAAAATCTTCCAACTGAACTACTCTATTCTAATCTAAAATAATGAGTCTAAACATGATTAACTATGAGTCTAAACATGATAAAGAAGCTGAGAAGACAGTATTAGAACAGAAAAATGACTGTTCATGGTCTTTTATGAAAGCCAGCTTGTTTGAGGACAGGTAAGTAGCAATAAGGGAAACATGATTACAGCTTCTAATTCCGAGAGAGCTGTATGGGAGAAAAAAAGTTAAGTTAGCTAAGTGCAGGAACCTAGAGCTTATCAGAAAGCAAGCAGCTTTGTCCTTCTAAACCTCAAGAAGTTGACATACCACCTTGGTGACAAGCTCAGACTGGTACAAATTGCAGCTTAAGGCACATTACAAGATAAAAGAGACGTAGGAAAACAGTTCAAATTGGACAGAGGGAAGATGTCATAAACAGGTTGTTCTATAAGCAGCTTGACCGTGTGAACACGCTGACTGCCATGAAGGTGCCAGTGCCTGCAAAGGGAAGGCTTAAAAGGAGGTAAGAGGTAGGACAGAGAAGAGAGCCCAAGCATGCTGGAAAAATGAGTGTATCACTCAGGTCATCTGAGGATACTCCAGCAGAAGTATCTGAGACATTCTGGCAGGACAAACACCAGTACCTCAGATTTAATAACTTTTAGGCATCTGAATAATGCTCTGTGGAGAAAGTCCATGTTGGTGCACAAGACTATGCCAGGCCCTCTAAAACAGCAAGAGGAAAGCAAGCCCTTCAGCTCCATAGGAGCAGTGGAGGGAAGAGCCACCGCTCACGGACATTTCAGTGTGGTCTCAACGCCTGATGGCTGCCTCAGGCTGGGAAGCGATGCCTGCCAGCACGCATGTCCCTGGCCATGGCCACCACTCCTGCTGCCATGGCCCAGGCTCCCAACCCGCACCGGGCTGGGAGAGCCTCTTCCCCTCTCACCCCGAGCACACCACACCGCACCAAGTCCACATTCAGCACTCCCACCCTCGTTTGGAAGATTTACATTGGTTTTATACTGAACTTATTACCATCAATGCAAGTTCAAAATATATTAAATGTTAGTTCTCAAAACACCAGCTCTGATCAACAGGAGGCTGTGTCACACAGATGCAGGGTGTACAACCCTCCTTAAAATCAACTGCATCAGAACCACTTTTTGTTTAAAGGACCCTTGTTCTCTTCTTTTTTCTTTTGGACACACAACTCCCAGGTCAGCTGGCCAAACTGGTTCTGCACGTAGCACCAGGGCTAAGTAAGGGGCCAATTTGTTTGCAGACCAACCCCATTCCCTAAGCCACTCCTCTCGCCTTCCTGGCAGATGGAAACGATGCAAACCAAGGGTTTAGTACTGTCCTACCACCTGCAGTGCCCTTATTTTAACTTCATGCTAAAAGTCTTACTACCCAGTTTCCTCTGAGGGTGTTACAACAACGGCAGTATTCCAGCTACTATTTCTTGATTCCAGAATTACTCAAAGGACAGAGTCCAGTCTCTATACAGAACACACATGAGCTTTACCTTGGCCTTATGGTTCTGTAGACAACATACAGCACTGGCTAGTTCCTACAAGTCTCATAGCTTCCTGCCAAGTCCTGATATAAAGGCTGGTACTCAGGGGGTTTTTTGTTTGTTTTTGAGAAGAAGAAATGAAGTAAAACTTGGAAGTAATTTTAGGAAATACATTAAACCTTCTTACAGTTTTCAGAGTAATTTGTAATTCAGGACCAGTACTGGAAAAAATAATATCAAGCATCTATTTATTTTCATAATATATATCCGTATCATTAGAACACCTTATATATTAAAAGCAATTGTATGGAAAATTAAAATTAAATATAAGGATGGCGAGCAGTTGTTCAAAAGTTTTGGAGTTAAACCTATTTGTCTATTTGATTTCGTTATTTTGAAGAATGATGTTACATGCTAGTTAGAGTAGAAGCCATTCGCATCTAAGTGAAAAGTGGATTTTAATAAAATAAAAATTATGCACTATGCGCAGCTTTATTCTCAAATACAGATGCTATTAAATCACACCTTGGACAGCTTGCTCCCCACCCTTTCTCAGTGAAAGTGCTTGGAAAAAATGGGGCATTATTTGCTCCTAGTTCACTTATCCCCACAATACTCCCTACTTTGGAGCTCTCTTGAGTTACTGGTGCTCTAACACAAAGCTGATTCTGAATATCATCACTTCACTCGTTGCCTCATTGTTAGTCTAGCACAGAAATACCCACGTTATGTGCCAGGGACCCAACTGTTTCTTGGAAGCTGTCTACACGCTGCTCTCCATTCCGAGAGTCTCTTCTGAAAAACCATCCCCCTCCACCCCAATCTGAGGGCCACCTCACCTTATATCACATATACCTGCAGAGTATTGTTCCAATGTTCTCCAAGTCATGGCTTGAAAGGTGTGCTCCCGTTTCTCTCAACAAATTAATCACTTGTATGTGCCTTTATGAAAGGAATAGAAGAAACAGAGAAAGTGTCTTGACCGGTAGGCTTTTTTTCCCTAAATCCAGCATTACTCATATACACAAACAGTCAGTGACAGTTCTTATATGATATTCACCACCATCACAGAACCAGTGAACCTTCTCCAAGGTGACAGGTGTACTGAAGATATCTGCCCTCCGTATCAAAAAACCATTCACATACTAAGCTCATGGAAGTGTGAAGTTCAGCTCTGAAAATGAAAAACGTGCATCCCTTTCTCTTCAAAGGATTTTTATTTTCTTTACCTTAGTGCTAGCTTAATTTAACGCTTGACATATCAGCAACTGAAACACACGCAAACAGTGAGGACATTTATTACATCACATCATTCCTGTATTTTACACAATACAATGCCCATATATATCAATCTTAAATAAAACGTGTCTTGCAGATAAGCAATGAATCTTTAGGCTCATGTAGAAGCTAATCCAGTTTTTAGGGCTTCAAAATTGTGTAAATATTGTAAGTATTCTTATGAACCTCCCACAAAAGCACACCTTTTCCTAACACCCTCCTCCCAATACCTTTGCTATTTATTTTCACCTGGAGTCTTTAGGAGGTCTTCCTCATCCTTTCCTTTGAGATAAAGTGACAAATAGGTCTTTAAGCACTACCAGCCAACTCCTATACCTTAGTCAGATGCTTGAGAAGTCTGTGGAAAAGGCCGGTCTCTAAAGGTACTGTCGTGGGCAGAAAACAACATGACCGATGAAAAACGTGCAAAATATGTTTTTCACAAGTGACCCAGTGAAAAGTTTAGAACTGGGTTCCAAAAGGAGGTGACAACATAATCCTCTGCTAAACAAATGATCTGGGACAAATCCCAACACAGTTTTTTCCTCCAGAAAGAGCATGATGACACTAGTAGATCAGGAACAGTTCTCCTTGAGCCAGCAAATAATGGCACGGCTTCCTCTTTTTCAATCTGTGGTGAAGAATGAATCCTACATGTATGAAATTTTTAGTTCAGTTTTAAGCAGAACAGTAATTAGCTGAAAAGTTTGACCTAAAATAGATTAAAGTGGAACATGTTTGTTCACTCAGGCTCACACTGGGTATAGATCTGAACACGGGGAGTGTCTGTTTATGCTCCTACGACTGCCTTGGAGTATTCCTCATTTCCCACCTTATACTCAAAATCACAGCAGGAAACTAGTGCTTTCTAAACTAAAAGCTATTCTATGGCACAGCACTAAAAGGCAGCAAAGCATGTAATATTCTGTGGTGTCTTCTCTCAATGTGCTTCCCCTATGAAGCCTGCACCTCTGGATTCCACTGAAGAGCCAGGCTTTTCTCTTCCCCTGTAGTAACTATTTACTCCTCCCTGGTACAAGATTCCCTCCAGCCAGCACTTCATGTCCCACCTGCATCACACAGCCATTACTACTCTGAGTGGGACCCTATAAATCATTGATACAGACAGATTTGGGGGCATCTACCCCACGCATTTAACACAGCAAATTTATATGAGGGAAGAAAGTAGTCTGAAATAACATAAATTATTAAGCATTGAAGCTAACAGTGTTTACAATAAATGCTTACAATAAAACATTTCTCAATAGAAGTACAATGTCCTGATGACTTGGAATCATTCAAAATTATGTTTCTTGTTATGGTGGGAAGCAGAGGACATGCTGGATACCACTGCTCGTTAAGTGAAGCATAAGGGAGAGGAAAAATAGGGACAAATAGTAACGAACAACTTTAAAGAGTTAAATTTAGGACTGTGACTATGAAGAGCAGATCTGTCCAAGGCGGCAAACGGACCACCTCTCACATTCCCATCACTCAAGGTGAAAACTATGCGGGAAGTTAGTCACACTACAGCCTGTTCCTACCTGCACCCAAATGGTATCTACATTCTGCAGAAACTGGAGCCTACCCAGAGTACCACTTCTGCTGTCTTGTACCTGCCACAAGAGCATTACTCATGTTTCAAGAGGCTGGCTGTGAATTTTCTGATACTGTTATGTCTTGGGCACACGAGAGGTGTTTGTCTTCAGAGGTTGTTTCTTTAAGCACTGCTCTCCTGCGGCTTTACAGAAGCCTCTTACAGCTCAGTTTGGCTGAGCTGAAGTTCAGCCGATGTCATGAGCCATGAACTTCTTGGGAATGGTTCCAATGCGATTCCTGTTCTAAGGTGACAGCACAAAACTAAGAGCAGAGCAAGTGCTGGACAATGAAAGTTCAAGGTGTAGAGGGAAGGCCAATGTCACTGTGTTAGTCTGCGCTGCACAGCTGCTGGTCCAGTCTGGCCCCATCTGATAAGCAAAACCATGAGGAGCTATTGTCACCTGCGAACTGTTCCCGACTCTCCCTTGTCTTAGTGCGCTCTGTCACCAAACTGTGGCTCCTGGTCAGACACAGGCTATAGAAACAATGCTCTTTCACATATGTTACTTCAGTTAGCCTTCTGATACTACCACTGTCATTCATCCACTCTCTGAAGGAAAAAACATAAGACGAAAAGCGTTTCTAGTGTCTCCTCCCTGCAAGATTCCATTACTGACAACATCGGAGATAAAAATCCCAACATATACTAATATTTTAATGGATCAATAGCAAAATAAATGATTCAGTGTGGCTGTCAACATTCACTGCTATGAGTGACGTCTGAGTTCCAGATAAAGACATCCAAACTTTTACCAGCTGGCGAGGGCTCTGGATTCACAGCAACCAAGGTGCCGTACAGTGCGTATCATTGCGGGCCGTGACTTGGCAGACACTCACGAGAAGTGACTCAACTTCAAAAGGGATGAATCACACATGGGAAATTAACACGCATGTACGAGTCTGCAGGACTGGGGCCTTAGGGTGCACACCTTCCACCAACTCTCTTTAAAGAAATGCAGGTGCAATGTATATCCAAACTTGACTGGCTTCATTCTTTGTAATGCCTGCTCCCCTAGCAACTGGAATGGTGATGGCAGGATCAGCCTAGTTTCACTTGCTCGGTTTTCTGCATGGTATCAGTGGGAATTTTATGCTCAGCTACTGTAAGTACAGGCTCCAGTGCACTTCTGGAGTCAGCGGTGGTTAGATTTTCACTCTGCCTTACATTTCCTGAAGTAATGTAAATGTAACCTTGCAAAATATCAAGTATTTAAATCCATATTTACGTGGGAGGTAATTTTACTGCCTCTAATCTGATGTTCTCACAGCACTGTATGAGCAACTCCCCATTTTCAACCTTTTACCACTGCACTACAAGTAGATGGAAGTGCTTTTACTACGTAAAGTACACACAATTTTTATTCAAGGCATCTTCCTGCTTAGAGAGTTTCTGTTATTAAAAAATATTATTCTATTGTTTTGAAAATGAATTATCCCTTGAGGGTACTCTAACAAATTAAAGGAATGCTACTCATTTTGATATGTCAAGCAACTGGCCTAAATTAACAGTGGTCTGTTTAGCTTCATGCATAAAGTGAATGAGACTACACGCAAATTGCAGAGTTACAAATGAAAAAGCGGAAATGCAGTAGTTTATTTCTTATTTAGAAAGGGACTGCACATTTTACCATCTAAAGAAACAAAGAAAGAGTCACTTAAACTCAAAAAATTTAAGAGACTGTCATTGATATAGATCAAGTTGCTGGTCTATCAGCTGACAGCGCTATGTTAAGAAGCTTTTAAGAAGAGATCCTGATCATCTTTACAAATTATTAAATGGAAAAGAGAAATCAGTCATCATTATCTAGGTTTGCATGCTAGGTTAAAAGGCAAGCCACCGAGAAATGTGACATAAAAAACTAGAAGAAAGCTATTTTTAAGATGAGTGGATACTGTACTGCAGTTAAATGCCATTTAAACAAATATTAATTCTCAGAAAACAGGATTAAGCTGATGCAATATTCAGTAAATTGAGAAAGTTACAATATTAAACAGTTTAAAGCATTGACTGCTCATTAAGATCAGTTTTCCCCCTTCCCTCTCTGCCACTTTGTACACTGCATCAGGATAATCTCTTCACTTTCAGCACACAACTGTTTAATAAATAGAATAAATATTTCTGTAGCAGAAATCTTTTTAGTGGGTCTCTAATTATGCACATATACAGCTGTCTGATCTTTAACATTCTCCTCTGTGTGCTTATCTGTATGAAATGCCATGTGAGTACGCAGCAAATCATAAACACACATTTACGAGATTAGTTCTAAGTCAACTCTTCCTCTCATTCCAACAGTGGAAACAAAGAGAAACTGAAAATAGTTATGGTGCAGTTTCCTTTTTCAATTCTCTATATCAAAATGGGTGTGCAGTTTTAAAGAGCTTAAGAGTCATAGCAGGAGTCTAATATAGGAGTGGCAATGCTAAGGAATCCAAACAACAAGCTCATGTGAAATTCCTCAGGCGGTAGATGGGTGCGGTAAAAAACGTAGGTGCCTTATTTGCAGGAACATCTAATGGTATCTAACGCTTTAGCATTTTCTCACATTGGACCAGAGCCACCTCTATTCAACTCCGAGGTTATTTGTTTGATTTGCTGTTGGGCTTGTTTTTGCTTTAAGACTTTAAGGGTTTGCCACTGAAGGGCTTATATATTCATGAGATAAAGCAACAACTACAAAGCCATAGGGGCCCATGCAGTAGGTACAGCAATAGCACAGTATGGCCACACAGGACTTGAAGTCTCAAGTTAACAGGGCCTGTTAGTTCTTCTACCCCTGGCCTTTGAGACAGAAAAAACCTTCAAGTTATTCCTGCAGCCAATGCAAAACCAGGACTGGCAGACCTCCCAGAGAGCTAACGCCAGCCTGACAGACCAGGTGAACTTGTCCACATCAGAAAGCTGTAGGAGTATTTGGGGACAGACATCCATGAAGACCATGAAAATTCTATCACTCCAAGCTCCTCTACAGAAGAAAACTTCTCTCCTGCCATCATACAGACTGAATATGAGATAAGGAGCTGAAAGTGGATCAAAGAAACAAGAAGAGATTAGGGCATGCAGCTTCTAACACATTAGAAGACCAATGGCTCAATGAATCCCCAGGCTATATAAACTAAGTGTTTTAAAGTTAAATTTTGATATCTGATCACTTTCATGCTCTGTGCTATGGCCATTCCTTAGGAGACAGAAAAGACCAGTCCACGACTACCATTCAAGAAGTGCTGACATCCAGAACAACAGGAAGAGGAAATCCACAGAGCAGGCAGAGCCATGCAGCCATCCCATGTAAATATGAGTGGGCGGAAGGGAAAAATCGAAAAACCAGTCACCCAGCAAGAGACTCAGGAAAGCGCTGGTAGGAGGGAAAGACTAAAACATGTCAACCTACCGGTATATTTTGTACCGTTTGAAACAGTCTGGTCTTGATGAGAAAGGGGAGGGCAGAAAGAAAGCAGACAGCTCTTGGTCCTGCACTCTCACTTCTGACAGTCAAAAGGAGTGATCAGTTTGGCTCTGCTTTATAAAGAAGCCTCATAACAAAGAGTGGAGCCCTGAAATTATGGACAAAGTCTTTGCGGGAAGGCAGCAATGAGTTACCTTATGCTAAAATTCTGCATGCATAGCAAGTTGTTTGCTTTCATTTCATATTATTTAAAAAATCTTTTGATTTAGGCTAGTCACATCCTTTGAAATGAAGCTAGTTTGTGTTATTTTAACTGCTGTCATTTACACATGACCGCTGAGACAAAACAAGACCAAAACACAGGGAGGGACTTTAAATCCAAAATGATAAAAGGTTTATAAACTTTACATAGAGCAGTGTATAAAGTATTTTGTTACCTGAACTTGATCGCATTCACCAGTGGGGTAGATCCGTATCTGTCTCTAGCATAAACAGTTGCGCCAGATGTCAACAAATACTCAACTAATGGTAAATGCCCTTCAGAGGCTGCAATATGAAGTGGAGTTCGGCCATCGTAGTCTCCACAGCTCAAGTTTCCACCCTACGAAAGGACAGATCCTTCACATGCTAAAAAGATAACGGCTGCACATTAAGTTGTTGGCACAACAGTAGATCCATACACCACATTTGAAATCCGCCATCAAAGAGTTAAGCTTGTCAAATTTACTTAAAGCTTATCTTGCAGTGTTGTTCCAGAACCAACAGAGATATTTATTCCCCCTTCTGCATGTCCCCCCCCCTACACATATTCTCATTACAGCCCCTTCACATATGCTCTTTATTGCAGTACGCCACACAGCAGCTTTGTGCCTACAGTCTGCTAATTTCACTTGTCTTAGTTTATTGTTACTTTTAAGATACATTTATCCTTTCTTGAGGCCCATTACCGAAGTCTCAAGAGTAGGGTAAACCAAGACAAAGAGGTAAAAAAAGAGGTGTAGAAGATGATACAGGGAAATGCCTGTTTCTTTTTTCAGGTATAAGCCAGGCTAGAGCTGTGGGGAGAGCCAAAAATCCTGAATTAGCACTGTGTTTTGCTTAAATATAATTTTCAAGTTCTTTTTTTTAATCATGACAGATTTACATCCAAAAGCTGGTTAATATGAATATGCATACAGAAAGTTAAGTGAAAGAAAGCAGTGCAAACCATTTTAAAGTGTTCCAAAGTTAGCAGATAAGAACTTGCATTTTAATCTGCCTGTATTTTTACAGTTCAAAAGAAAATGTAAACAGCTGAGAACCAGATAGAAAGAAGATACCAGTTTTGAAAGGCAAAGACCGAGGAGCCTCGAAACCAACTGTATTAGTCAAAGCACGTTGATTCTAAGACTTAGGTAGTTGCTTCCCAGTGAGCATAGCTTCCTCCCGTCATTTACAGCTCTATTTAATAATTCACATTTTGTACAAACTGTTAGTTTTACATTACCATTTCTGCTATGGCTCTTAGTGCATCTATGTCACCCAGTTTAGCTGCAGCACAAGCCAAAGGTGGAATTAATGCATCTCTTATGGCTTCTAACTCCTGAGAAACAAATAAAATTAAACATTTAATATCAGCCTCACCTCTAATATGATTGATGTCCAAGTCACACTGCCCTTGCTTTCACACAGAGTTTCCAAATTAGTCATTTGGATATTAAAAAATGGCAGTATTTAGTTCTTGGAAGGAAAGAAGTCTCATGTTTATTTTACATTTTGTCCATTCACTTCCATGAAGGTTTATATTCCTCCCTGGCAACACTAAAATTACTTGATATCTACATATATCATTCAAGGTGCACACACCAATTACCATCTCTGCATTGCCATAGTTACATATCAGTACAGTAAGAGAAACAGCACTGGCAGGATTTGGAAAAGACCATACAGCCCAGCCTCCTCAAGAGTGGATCAACATTATTCATGTGATTCCTCAGATATCTGGGTAACCTGTAATTCCAAGCCTCCACTGACAAGCCCCACAGGCCCCCTAAACATCCTCCCATTTCTCACGCTTACTAAAGAAGAACCATACATTCAGTACTCATTAGCTACTATAAATCCCATCTTCCCTGAAACCAAGCCAAGAGAAATGCAAATACTTGTATCTTACAACCAATACTATATTTTCTGATTTTCCACTTGGGAGGGGCTAATGTTAAACACCACAAATTACAGTTGTGTATACTGCCTTAGCAGCAGCCTTCTGTGACTGCATGTACAATTAAGCTGCTTTACTCGTTATTATTTGGATTGCTCCAAACTGTCAATACATTTGACCACAAAAATACAAAGCACTTTTTCATATCATTGATACCCTGAACTACAGCAACTGTCTGAGGCTTGTTATTGCAACCAGCCAGCCAAGAAAATAAACTCAAGATGGGGCTACAAAGAGGAAGAAAAAAAGTTAATATGTTTTTAATTAAAAACATTTTAATGCTATGCTTGCCATTGTGTCCTTTCTCCCCAACCCAACTGGTTAGCTGGGACACTCAGTACTACAAAAATAATATAGAAGCTCCAGTGTTCCATTTTCCTTTTAGCTTTGCTGTTCATCTTTAAGCTAGGTTCATTTAACTGAGTTTACAGCTTTACATGAGTTCAGTTTTAAATATTTAAGTATATACCTCCTTGCTGCTGATACTTAGAGATTTGGCAATCACTTGAATAAACTTGCTATCTCTCAGAGAGATCTTGGCTCCTGTGGGTACAACAGTCATTTCTCCTCTTAGATTCTCACTCAGCATCTGAAAAGCAAGCAATCAAATCCTTTGTTAGCAGAGGAAAAATATGGTAGTAGTCTAATAAAAAACCTTAGGATCAAGTTAGAAAATTGTTTGGAGGAATTATGGAAACTAATTGAACGCAGACAAAAGATTAAAGAAATAGTTACTGTCCCACGAAGACTGCAAGTTTAGAAAGACAAAGGGGGAAAAAAAAGGGACAGGCAATTAAAACTTTCTTCCAAAGCAAAGAAACCAAAATAAGAACATAACAAAACACCCCAATTTTTAGAGTATGCAGACAAAAGGTCCCTAGTGTGGTAAGATGCAGCCTACTTAAAAACACAAAGATAATGATTAATGAGCAGAGTGAGGCTGAAGACCGGAATATTCTGAAATGCTGCCTTTTGCCAGCATTCCCAAACCTCAGTGTTCCTACACAGACTGTGTACGCAGGCCTCAAAACAAAGCCCAGTGCTGTCTGTGGATGGTCATGTATTTCAATGGATTTTCAAACAGCTCCATTAGCCCTGATTTTGTTAAAATTTGGCCAGAGAGCCAGCTCTGAATGCAGACGGTCTGCAGTAGTACTACTCACTCAATATTAACGCAGGCGTGTAACAGTTTGCAGGATGGGTGCATCCAACACAACCAAGAAAAAAAAACAACAAAACAAAACAAAACAAAACAAAACAAAACAAAAAAAGGTCAGCCAATTCCTGTGTAGAAAGTGCTTGAACATGGCAATAAAGACAAGAAAATACTCCAAAGGACAGGTTCTGGGAAATCTGGAGACCAGAGAGAGAAGCCAGTCATTAAGAAAAAGCAACTGGTTTCCTCAATTCTGACAGTGTTACACACTGGCACTCTTTCACAAAAGGTTGCTGATGCAGCTATAAAGCACATACTTATTTCAATTAGAATTTTAAAATGCAGGATTGTGAAAGTTTGCAAGGAACAGATGTGATGTTGGAAGGAGGAATGCCCCAGGTTTACTTCTGTCTAGGCATGCCCTTTAATAAAAAAAAAAACCCCTCCAAGTGCTGACAGCACTGTAGCTGTCTGCTGGAAGAGTCCCATATACCTGTAACTCAGAGAATACCAACTGCTTTGGCGCGTTTTTAGAGTTTGACAGGTTGAGATCATGGCTCTGCACAGGTAACCTTAGCAATTGGCACCTGTGCTAAAGGCACCCAGCACAAAGCCCTATGTGTCTTACTCAGTCCTACCAGCTCTGCAGCCATTTGCATGTGTCTGGGGGCACATTCCTTGCTTCTTCGTGTTGAAAGAGAATCCTAAAATAACCACGCCAGCTTCAGGAGAGCTTCCCTCTCTTGGGAGACTATTGTTTGGTGATATGCTTAGCTGAAGATATTGCTACAGACAACATATTTCCAGGCTTTCTTCTTCTCCTGGTCTCTACCACTCAGTCCCGCCCAGGCAATGCAGCACGCTGCTCCCTGAGTTGTGCCAATACAATTTTTTGTGGGTCTGTACAATGAGTCAAATGAGGAAACCGATCCTGCTTAAAGAAATTGCAAAAGTTATTTTGATTTGCAAAGCATACAAAGGAGGTTCCAGCACCACCACACAAAAACTGCGTAGCACATCCAAAGGGCGGCACATGAAGATGCAGGAGTACCTTGTGCCAGTGGTACCTAAAACGTCCTATCACCAAGCCCTCACCTGAGTAAGGCAGCTATCTCACCTCAGCAAACTGGATCTCAAATTAAGTTTTAACTCACACACCTAGGCAGGAAGCCAGATGGGAATGTTTCTTCTGTCCCAGATCAAATAATCCTCTGTGCAAGGAGATTAAAGTCTGCATTAAAAAAACAGGCCAGTATCTGTACGTTCCAGGGTCAGTGAGCATATCAAAGGGGCATCAGTGAAGAGCCTGGGTGTCTAAAGTGTGTACACACAAACACGGGCAACACCACTACTCTTCACACAGCGTTGTGCTGCCTGTGAAGCACGTTCTTGCGCAGAGTATGTTCTTGCCATCCTCACTGCAGAAACACATAGCTCCTCCTCCTCTCATTTTTCAGAGCCAGGGCTTTAAGCAAACAACCAAAAGCTCAGAGTCTGAAATTGTTTCTAAGCACGGTAAGTGGTGCTTCCAGCCACCCCACTGACGATCATAGTATCCAAATCTGTTTGTGTCAAGAGCTGCTACTGGTTGGAAGATGCTGAGCATGAAATAGTGATCAAATTTGTTTCAGTGTTAATAACAACAAAACACGATCATAAGATACACATGTGCACGCAGTGCCTAAGTCTAGAGAGTGACTCATCATGACGTCATCTCCCAAAGTGTCAGGATCATG